ACCGGCGTCAATTCAGTTTGAGGGCGCTAGCGGACCGCAAAGTATCCAAACTGTTCATCCACACTCCATACACAAATTAATCTCAAAGGTAGAGACAGTTAAATCTAATTACATTTAAATGTTTTTGAAGTATATAATTTATATATACATATGTACATATGTACAGAGATTTTTTAATAGCTTTAATTGCTTGCGGGAATTGTTAATCAAAAAACAATGCAAAATTTGTTTGCGAATGGAAAAATACAAAATAATTTCCACTTTAATAATTCTATCATCTAATTTCCAGATGTCCTACAAAGTAGAAGCACTGCCCGACTCCTATGCCGCCCTGGGCGAAGGCCCCCACTGGGATGTGGGCCGCCAGAGCCTTTACTACGTGGATCTGGAGGTGGGCGTCATCCTTCGCTACGACTACAAGCAGAACAAGGTGTACAAGGCCCAGATCCAGGGCGAGGTATTCGCCTCCTTCATTCTACCCATCGAGAACAAGCCGCAGGAGTTTGCGGTGGGCTGCAATCGCCGCTGTGTCGTCGTTCAGTGGGATGGCGTCGCTCCAGTGGCCAAGGTTCTGCGCACCCTGTTCGAGGTGCAGCCGGGTCTGGAGGATAATCGCATCAACGATGCCAAGACCGATCCCCGGGGACGTTTTGTTGGTGGCACCATGGCCTGCACCGGCGACATCTTCACGCAGTATAAGGGCGAGCTCTACGATTGGCAGAGTGGCGGTCAGGTGAGGAAGATCAGGGGCGAGGTGGGCATATCCAATGGCCTGGCCTGGGACGAGAAGGCCAAGAAGTTCTACTACATTGACACCAACACGCACGAGGTAAGCGGCTACGACTACAATGTGGAGACGGGCGCGATAACCAATCCCAAGGTCGTCTTCGATCTGCGTAAGATCCGACCCAATATAAAACTCTTGCCCGATGGCATGACCATCGATACCGAGGGCAACATCTATGTGGCAACCTTCAACGGTGGCACCGTCTTCAAGGTGAATCCAAGGTGAGTCTTTTCCGAGATATTTCCATTTTCCAGCTGACTTATTTTCCCCCCTTTCAAACAGCTCTGGCAAGATCCTGCTGGAGATCAAGATCCCCACCACACAGATCACATCGGTGGCCTTTGGGGGCCCCCAACTGGACATTCTGTATGTGACGACAGCCAACAAATTCGATCAGCCCGTTCCCGCTGGCACCACCTACAAGGTGACCGGCCTCAATGCCAAGGGCCATCCCGGTGTCCCCTTGAAGGTCTAGATTTGATTGCAGATATATGTATATTGTATATTGTAGTATATACATCGGATTCAATTAAATGTGGTTTATTTTTGATAAGCGACAAGAGTTCTTGATTATTTTTAGCTTGCTGCCTGCTTGTAGGAGAATAGCTCTCGGAGCAATGGCAGCAGCTGGGGGGGACAAGGGCGTGGAAAATTCAACAACTTTTAAGAGACATAAAACATAATAATTTGTAGGTCCCTCCCCTACACCTATCGCCAGGCAAAAAGCGCTGGTCACAAAAAGTTAGATAAGTGAGAAACACTTCAGAAAGCGAAACTAATTTTGTGGTGAAATCGATCTACCGGTTGGCTGAGTGCGCCCTTGGTGCCATTTCTGTAGGACAAACTGCTTTGATCAACGCCAGAGCGCTCTCTCTGAGAGAGTTCCAGTCCTAGTTATAGAACTCTGGCAAATTATTATGCTATGTGCATTTATTGGCGCACTTTTAAAGCAATACGAGTATTATTACTTAATTGGCCAGAACAGATACCAAGATGGTCTAGAGGGAGGCTCGTACTTCAAAGGTTGTGTTTGTATGGTTTAATGGAGGCATCTCTAATCTGAGGCAATTATCAGATTGTTGTTGTATAAAATTTTGCTATATTTACGGACATAATGTCAAGTAAAAGTTATCATGTCAAATGTTTTTATTTGAAATTTAACAAACAAATTACAGTTATATTTTTCTGCACACGAAATGCTTTTCAGATTTAATGGTAACAAATATTTTTCCCAAAGCAAATATTTGTACAACTTTATCTAATCACAAAATAATTCAAGATAATTTGTTCAGCTGTGTTAAGCTCTTAGATAGCACAACGATTTGTTAATAAAAACAGGGATTAAGCAGCTATTAATTAAATATATATTATTCATATGGAGAGCATAGAAAAACAATAAATAACAGAAGCTGGCGACACTATATTACCCGATACTCTTTTCCTATATATCGAAACTTTATCTGCAGTACCCGTTGCTTTAGAAATAATAGTGTTCGAAAGCCAGGTGTTTAAACAGACGAACGACAGGTGCGCTGCCATTTATTTTGTGCATTCCGGCTATAACATATACCCATGTATACCCCTATATAAAAAACCATCTAATGCATTTAATACTGCACTGACACTTTTCGATAGCAAAAATCTTTGAATAAAAAAAGTATTAAATAGAAATTTCCAATTAAATTTGCATATTGGATATATAAATCTGCAGTAGGAAATAAATAAACAAAACATTTAAACGTTATTGGTTAAATAAATAGTCCAACAAATGTACTTAATATCAGACACGGAATAAATAATTTCTAGTAAATTTAAATCGCAAAATAAAAATGCCAAATCAAAGCAGAGTTTCCACAAATTGAAGGCATTCAGTTTGAAATTGATTTAACCCCAATAAATAATAAATATACATACAATATTAAAGGCAATTGAAAGAGGGCACAATATGGATTGTAAAATGAAATGTAAACAGCAGACTGAGTACTCTTTCTCGAAAGTAGTCGTGGGAATGATGTTGAATGATGAGGCAGAGGTCCCTGTCCCTGAGCAGCTACGCAATCAAAAGTATTTCCAGAGAAAGAGGGAGAGGATTGGGAGGGAGATCGTTGGCACACAATTGTTTGCGCTGCACCCAAAAAACAACTGTATCATATGGGTAATAAAAGATACATTTATTCAGATACAGATACAGTATCCATATGCGCATTGTCGAACGACACACGAGAACGCCACACACAGATACGGCTACCACATATGGCAACAATAAACATAAAGAAAGACAAGAGCCTAGGGCGAGGCAGGGGCTGAATACTGTGGACCGGCGACTGAGAAGCGCTTCGGTTGGAACCTGCCACTTTAAACCGCAATCAGAAACAAAATTGATTTAAATTTGAAAATGTAAACAACACCCTCCCCCCACTCATGCCTGTGGCAGGGATGGAGGGGGCACATCTAGCAGCGGTGCAGCGTAATTGTGTAATAACCACAAAGCCTGGAAACAACTACCAGTTCATGACCACTGGATAGATAGACATAGTACAGTGCGTAACGTCACTGTAAGAACAACAAAAAAAGAATCGCAAAAAAAGAATTCTCAAAGAATATCACTAAAAGATCTTATTAATTGCTTAAATCGAACAAGTTCTGGATTATGCTTCGTATTTAATTGTATCCATTTAGGTATCAAATTTCCCGGCAATCTCCATCTGCCAGAACTTGTTTCACCTGCCTTATACTTTCCGGACGCACTGTACCCTAAGCCCTAAGAAATGCCGCCCACGAACATTCCATATCACACATCGCATTGGGAATGTGTGACGTACATATGCATGCTGCATGCATCCCGTGGGGGCCACACCCACCAAAGGGGGAACTCTTTCGTTTGGGGCCCACGCTAGAAAGCGTGGTAGAAAGTGTCAAACGATCTGATCGTTAAATATGAAAAGAAAGCCATGGTAATAAAAATCAAATTAAAAAAAACTTTAGATGCAGATTAATTCTGATTTTAATTAAATTAATAAAAGTATACGAAATATGAATTATAAGTCTCAGCCTACAGACAAACAGTTAAGAGTTTCGGGCGAAAAAACAATTATATTTCAAGCCACTTGAAAGAATTTCAGGAGATAGCCTAAGGATGGAGACCCTAAGGATGGGCCGTTTTTTTTTTACCAGAAAAATCTATAAATATTTTTTATAATTAAATCATATTTATGTGCCGTATATTTCTCTAAATAAATTAAAATCTGCGTTAGATAATGCTGTGTGAAAGTCTTATGATATCGGATCCCATTCCAATAAAATCCTAAGGGATTTATTACCCTCTTTAAGGGTATGAAAATCGTTCTAAAATATGTATTTATCTATTCCTATCCGCATAGTGCTCCACAGATAGTATATCCTGCCTCCACCTTAAATAAATCCGTATCAAAATGAATCTAGTTTTGGCAAAACAAAAATTTCTCCCTCCCTCCCATCCATCCAGCGACTACCAGAAAAAACCAACTCCCGAAAAGAAAAGCAAAAACCACTAAAATACCGCACATTTTTGCTTGTTTGAAGCTTTTGGGGGGCTTTTGTTGTCTGTGCTAATGAAGCTTATGAGCAGCGCACAAGTCGCGACTCACTGGGCTGCAACACAAGCAGCAACAACCACAGGCACAAGTGAAGCGTTGCAGTGCGGTACACAACAGCGAGTGAACGAGAGAGAGAGAGGGGAGGGGCATAGACAGCGAGCGCTTTTGCCCAGTCAATGGCTGCACCTGTAACCACCAAAGCATATGGCGTGCTTCGCCTGCCGCCCCCCTCTGCTCATTCTGTCCCTCTCCTCTGTCTCTGTCTCTCTGCGTACGAGACAAAGCACAGTTAGGCTGGGCTTTGGCGGTTCGTTCATTAATGTCTGACACGTTTGAGCGATCACCAAAACAACGTAAGCCCGCCATTCCGTAGTTGCTTTTGTTTTTGTACCCCATACCCCCATACTATATGATTAACATTAAAAACGCATCTGATTCTGCAGCCAGCCATTGCCAAGCAGAACTTGGAGATTAAATGCTGAATTATAAATGCAGATATGGCACGAACCCCAGCCAGCAGCAACCACCAAAAAGCTGCAACGGAAGGGATCAATTACGTTAAACGTAGAACGGAAAGAGCGAGAGAGCCAATCAGATCACCGTTAGAGCTGTGGGAGGTAGCTAGGACTCGGACTTACCTTTTGAATGAAGGCAGCCGCCTCCCGGGCCACACCCACACCATCCGCCGAGCTGGCGTGCGTCGATGGAGACGTCGCGTAGACGAAGAGGGGCAGGGAATTGAAGTTACGTAAAAATCCCACACTGTTAGCCTCCGGCTTGTCCTTAAAGCGGCGGCAGAACAGCAGCTGTTTGTTGCAGGCAGCGGCCGAGGCCAGCAGAGGCAGCAGCGTTGGCGTTGGCGTTCGAGCTGGCAGCGGCAACTTGGGGTCTTGTTCTGCTGCTACTACAGCTACGGTAGATTCTTCTGGCAGGGCTCCAGCTGCTGCTCCACCTCTGGTTGGTATTGTTGTTGCTGTTGTTGTTGTTGTTATTGTAGCGGTAGATTCTTCTGTCTTTGTCGCTTTGGACGCCATTGACGTATCGCTATGCTCTTTTGTTGTGTTAGTTGTAGTTGTTGTTGTTGTTGTTGTTGTTGTTGTTGTTGTTGGCATGACTACGCGTACTATAAAACGGTACTTGCACTCTTTTTTTGGACATGAATATGGACTTGGGCGTGGGCGTGGGCGTACAGCTGCATGCGTCCTTTCTTGTTCGTTGTACCTTGTTGTTGGTTGTCTTAGGGCGGCAGCGGCGGCATCATCCTCGAGCTGCCGCATGTTGCACAAACACACACACACGCACACAGAGGCACACGCAACGCAAGCCGAATGCACTTTAATTATCTACACAAATATCGCACAAAGATTCACCGAAACGGTTGCCAGTCGCAGCAGCACGCACATTTTTTTTTTGCACAAAAAGAAGATTGGAATATATTTATATGTGTGGAAATGCACGAAAAAGGTCGTCTCTCGCAAACGAAGCCGAAAGCAGAGCGACAGAGATGGTAGGAGAGTGTGTGTGAGAGGGAGATAGTGGGAGCAGACAGAACGACAGAACGAGAAGGCACTGCAAAATGAGGGCTGGCATGCGGTATGTAGACTCTTTGTGTTGGCCAAACGTTAGTTAGCCGAATTGGGTCCTTAAATATGCGTTAGTTACCGTCGAATTACTTGATTAAAAAGCACTTTTTGTTTAAAATATTTTGCAGACAGTCACAGTGTGACCAAAGATGGTCAGTCAAGCGAAATACTAACGAAAAATACCAGAAAAGTTGCAACCAATCGATACATCGATAAGCAACTATATCATTGCTGATATATCGCATCAGCAGTGCTGCAAAACGTAGCTGTCGTGTCATTTATTATTGAATTATATTTCAAAGGTGCTCGCTCGCTGCCAGTTTCACAATTTCAATGTGAGTAACAACCCCGGAAATTACACAACTCAGTAAGCATATAAAAACATAGCTACTATACTTCAATTGTTCCAAATTTTTCAGTTAATACATTCCGGCAGCCGTCGACAATCTGTGTGCACCCCGAACATTAACAATTCGAAACATTTTGTGCGCACGCACAATACTACCAAAAATTTTAATTGAACAGAAGTGCCACAACAAAGCCAACACTTGTCGCTGCCGGGAAAGTTGGCACGTGGTGTGAGTTTGCAATTCAACGATCCGTATTTGCTTGCTATTCTGGAAAGAAGAGTAAATATTTTATTTTATACTCCCTAAATCATCTTGTGGCGTTGCCAGCTAACTCAATCGTCTCTCTTCTGTTGCAGATATAATACACAAGGTGTTTCACAACACGGCTACAACACTACAGCATACAACTGTCCCTGTCACGCGCAAGCCATTCAGACTGCTGTTCGCATCGTGTCGGTCGCTCTTTTGCTCTGTTCGTTCGGTCCGGTCCGCCTGCCCAGAATTGATTGAAATCGAGTCACAAAAAAAATAATCGTCGCCGTAGTCTTCGTCGGGTCGCCGTTTACACGCGCAGTGCTAGAGCTGCAATATTTCGAGACAAGGGACACAAATTATAAGCAGAGCAAATTCAAGTGGAGAGCACAGCGCAGCCTTTGTGTTTCGTTTATTTTCCAGCGATTTTAGACACAAGTTCGGTTCCGTTCCGTTTTCGACTCGATAAAAGCAGAACAAAAGAATCCGCGAACGAGCCAGAGCCACACAGACCAACCAACCAAACACTCACACTCACACAACCAAACCAGAAAATCAAATTTCAATCAGAAAATGGCGTTAAAAAGAATCAATAAGGTATGTGAAAAAAAAAACAAAAATTCTACAGAAAGCATTTAGCAGCATAAAAAGTTGACACACCAGACGGAATAGGGAAATTATATGTGAACACAGACATTTTATGCAAGAAATGTGAAACGTAGAAAGAAGGCGCACACACACACGAAGAGGAAGAGAAAACGATACGAAACGAAACGAAAACGTGCAAAAAGGCAAAGGGAAAAATGGGCGATGACGGTGTGCATTAATTACAGCGCCAGCAAAATGGAAAACAAGTTTAGTTTTTAGTTCTGTTGTTCCGATTGGGAAATGAAATGTCTTAGGATCTCGGTTTGGTTTGTCCTCCGTGAAGGGTGCGGGCTGCGGGATAGATCCTGCTGTGAGATGAGAGTGTAGTGGCCAGGCAACGTGTGCGGGAGTAGTGCAGTCATCGTTTCCGTTACACAGGCATTCGAGCGTTTGTGTGCGAAAGTGCAATGCAAATGCATTGTTTGTGCGTGTATGTGTGTGTGTGCGTGCGTGTGAGCCGGGCACCTGGACGCATTAATGTAACTGAAGCATACCCTATAGCTCCCCGATGTTACCCAATACACGCTATATACATAGCAGGGCACACTCTACACGCACACGTACACTCGCGCGCTCTCCACTCTGTACGGGTGTGTGTGTGCCAGCGCCGCAGAAAGATCCAGCAAAAAATAAAACAGAGCAAAAAGAAGCGTATAAAATTAACCTAACCCTACTTTTTGCGCTGATAATTCAGAAATAGTGTTGCCCATATACATATATATACACATATATGTATATCCACACACGCACACAAATGTACAGGCTTATATATACAATGCCATAGTATGCATAGGTGATTGCAGTGGTCGTGTCGCGTAGTACATATGTATATACATAGTATGTGTGCTGGCGAGTAAATTTCGATAATTATTTTTAAACTAGTGGGCTCCGTCCTTGTCCAGCAATGTTTTCGCATTGGAATAATACAAATTAACCAGCAACTGCAGCGCAGAGTGGAGTGGAACATGGAACATGCAATGCGCCTGCTGCTCATTTTCCCCCCGGATGGTCTATGTACATATTCCACTGTGACTGTGCGCCCGCCGTTCGACTTTGTGCACGTAGCATTTGGCTCGCTCTCGCTCATTAGAGAGAGCACCCGAAGTACACCCCTTGCAAGAGAGCGCTTGCTCGCTGCCGGCTCAAGAGTTTGCTTTGCTGGGGGATATTCAGATTTTTGTTCAATATCAGTGGAAATTAACGTTTGTCAGGCAGCCAAATTATATTAACATTTCGATTTGAGTTGTTCTTGCAGCCGGTTATCATAGTCATTCCCGCACCAACACACAAGCGAACAGTTTCTCGCCAGTAGTAGAGCCATCCCGCTCTCGCACTCGCTTCTCGCTTTGGTCGACGACAGCTGGTTGCTTTTGACTCTTTCTCGCTTCTTATGCCAAAGCGAATGGGGCAGAGCCAAGAGTGCCTGTCGCCTGTCGCTTGTGTGCGTTAGTTAGTGTTGAGAAACGTTGCTTGGCCGCAAAGGGGCCCAAATAATTAGTTATAAATTATAATTAAACATAATTTACATATAAAATGACTACATTATTGTTAAAAGTGAGTTCCGTTCCTGCCTGTGCTTGTGCTGTGTATTATGTGAATAACGCTGTGTGTATACCTGTGCTCGTTTTGCAACAATGTGTGTGTGTGTGTGGGGTCTGCTGACTGTCTCGTCGTTGCCGCAGCTTAAGCAACAAAAGCAGCGCTGCTGACGCTGTCGCTGCCACCACCACCAGCGTCACAGCGCGTCATGGCCATTGAGTTTTTCTTTATTATAAACTTTTATTTGTACATAAACGAAATGGCGAGAGATCGAAGGAAAAATCAGGAAGTCAAATTTTACTTATGCCAGCCCCAGCCCCAGGAGCTGTTTTCTATTTAGCCATTTTCCCCCCTTCCCTGCCCTCTGCCACTGCTGTTCCTTCTTCAAGGTTCTCTCTCTTGGTGCTGGCTGTGGCCTCAATTGCCCAAAAAGTACGAAATCTCTCTATATCTGTGTCCTCTCTTGGAGTACGTGTTTGTTTGTGTGGTGTGTGTTAGTTTTGTTTTTATTTCTCGTACATATGTGTATGTATGACTCATGCAATGAAAGTCGCTCCACTTTGGCGGCGGCGTTGGCGTCTCATAAATGTTACCGTTTTCTTGTCTTTTTTTGTTGAATTTATTTTTGCTCAACAGGTACAAAACGGGATGAGTAGGAGTGAGTGCGTGTGAGAGTGGGAGAGAGTGCCCGGCTGGCCCAGCAGCAACGTGCACCTTCAAAAAAGTTGACAAGTGCCGTTTCTGTTGTTGATGGGAAGCTATTTTTGTTATCTTGCCGTGCCGCAAATATTTCTTGCCGTCGGTGCTTCTGTTTCTGCTTCTAACGTCACAAAGAGAGCGAGCTACGACAGCAGCAATATAAGGCCAGAATATGTAAAGAAAGACAACATTTTGGGGTGCCGTTACATATACACACACACACACGCTCGCGTTTACATATGTACCGTGTGAGATGGTCTTTTCATCTCCCCACCCCCTGAGCCCTTGTTGTGTGTGCTACCTTTCACAGCTCATCTTTATTTCTTCGTTTTCCTTTTTTTTCGCTTTTTGCCGGTTTACTTTACACCGTATTCTCTCTCGTGCAGCCTGTGTGAATGTGTTTGTGTGCGCCCCCAGTTGGCAGCTGTGATAACTGTGGTTGGGCGGGGGGTCGTAGGGTGGGGAGAACATCAGCCGCTCAGCTGTGTGCGTGCGTGTGCGAGTGCGACAGAGACAGGGGATGCATTACAAAGCCAGTGACTGGTAGAGGGAGAGAGGAAGCGAGAGAGAGAGAGCACCATTTGGTTCGGGCCAACGAACTTGAGTTTTCGCCTCTCTTCTGGCTGGCTCTGGCCAGAGGCCCGAACTGTCGTATTCGCATAAAAAGTGTTCTGTGTACTGTTCATATTTCTGTTTTCAAATTCTGTTTAATTTTTCTGAATTTAATACAAAAATTTGCATCACTTAACTGGCGACATGCATAGATTATAACTATAACAAAAGAACCGACTGGACACACAGACGGGGCGAACCCAGTAGACGACGCATTGAAATATTAATTTCTGATTATTCACATTTTACATATGCACAATCGTCCACTATTTCCCACAAATATCATTACTAATCATGCCTCTTTTGTTCACAGGAGCTTCAAGACCTGGGCAGAGATCCACCTGCACAATGTTCAGCCGGACCAGTTGGAGACGATTGTGAGTATTCTACAATATATGAGGGAGACATCTGGTCACCCCCGCTTGAAGTATTGGAGATTTGTGACAAAATGCAGAGCTAGATAAGCAGAGATACAGATAACACAGATAAGCGGGCTCTACTATAGAATGACAGATGGTATTAGAAATGTGCGAGGTTGAATGGCTATCTTAGTGGGTTAATTCAACCTGAAAATAGTCTACAGTAACTAAGGGACTGCAACTGAATATCTGAGATTTCGAATGCTGATCGTTGCTTCTTCTAAGGTGTTGGCATGCCCAAGAAGTCCCAAAACCTTGGCCAATGAAATTGGATTACCATCTAATCCAACGCCATTTATAAATTTACAAAACAGTTTCCATAGAATACATTATAATTAATGGAATGGAATACTCAAATACTATTGATTGGGCTGAGCATCCATCATCGCCACGTCATGGAGGCAATACGTGACTAGGCAGTTACTGATTTTGTTTGGTTTTCTATTTGTGGTGTGGTCGCCTTCCCCACATTTAGCTTGGCTTATGCTAATTTTGGAAATCTTGTTCATTCGATTCTCGGCTTTAATCCCAGCCGCTTCAACAGCTGATCGCCATGACTCGCTTTTCGCTCGAACACAACTCGACTCGACTCGGAGTCGGAATAAGACTCCCAAGTAGAGGAGAGGTGCAACACACAATAACAACAGTTCCACTTATGCTACACATGTACATACACAGCGGTACAGTGCGCGAACTACTGTTATTGAAAACTAACTGTGCGAAAGACGACTCCACGATATATGAGGGTCGCTCTCCAATGACGTCATATAAAAGTGAAATCGTGTAATTACATCGCATTGCCGAAGGTGATGGATGGATGGATGGATGGTGTGGGTGGTGGGGGGATTGTACCTGTCGTGGTAGAAACAGCTGCAACACATACAATATTTTGTATTCATAGAAATATGACTGTACTACGGGAAGCAAAAAGAAAAGAGTAACGTTTGAAGTTAGTTTACAGAGATGTCTGTAACCTGTAATTACTGTTTTGACTTAAAAAAAGAAAACTTTCGCTAGCATATATGACGGCTATTACGACAATTTAATATGAATTACAATTATGTATAACATATGTTAGAGTTCCCCTTCTGAATTTAAAGAATATGAAACAAAAATTTTCTTTGCTTATAACATTGAATTTTACCTGAGTTTGCCGACTCCATGGATTACTGATTTCAAATTACAAATGATTCAGTGCGAGTAATAAAATAAAACTAAATAGTATCAATTGTCATCGTTTACAGATAATTACGGCTGTATTTAAGCGATTTCACTCAATTTCTATCACTATCAGCATTTAATCGGCCATTCAAATAAAAATGCACATACATATGTAAATGTTTGTATGTTTCATATAGTTTGTATATGCGAATCGCTTCCGCTGCTGCTTATCAGGTGGAGTTGAATTTTTACACTGCACTGCGCCTTATCAATTACGAGTATTATTCTGGAAGTGCGCTCATTCGGCAATTGTAAAAAGAAAACAACACCCAAAAGTTTGCGACTAACGCGCAGAGGGGAAAACAAAAGAAATTCAATGAAGGGGCGGGGCCTACAATGCCTGCTCCCCCCCACTGTGTGTGTGTGTGTGTGGTGATTTTGGTCTGGTCTGACCGTCGGGTGTTTTTTTTTAGTTTTATATAGTTAGATCGTTGTAGATCCCTAGAAGGGTTTTTCGTTTAGCATAAAGCATTTGACAATACGTTTTAATAGTGTAGAGGTGGAAAATTAATTGAAAATTACAGAAGAGATTTATAAGAGACCATGTTATACACATTACGGGCTATCTTTAGGGAGACTGCCAATAGAGAATGACCGAAAAAAAATACATGTCGTGTGCGTGATGACCTTCCCAGGTGTCCACCGCAATGTCTGCCCAATAGAGTTTCCCTAGTCGAAAATCAATTTCTGATTAATTTCTTCACGATCTCCCAATATTTTTGGTATATAAAAGTAGCAGATGTATAATTTTCCATTACTTTCGTCCCTTCCCTGCTACAACCTTTCCCCTTATCACCAAGCAATGCCCAGAATTTATTGATTATTAGCTAAGTGGCACAATTGTCGCTTCAGTTATATGGAGATTACTTTCGTCTGTCTGCTCAGGGGCCTCTAGCCTCTCGTCATGGTTAAATAAATAAAAGAGCTGGCAACTCCAGACCAGGCCCAACTGTAAACGAGAGCGATTTGTGTAATTATGGTCACTGGTCAGAAGAGGTGCAGGAGAAGGAGAAGAATGAAGAGGCGGAAGGACGGAAGGTAGCTGCTGCAGCTACCAGCTGGGGTCGGACGGCCCAGTTCTCAGCGGTTAGAGAAGGTTTTTCTGTTTCTGCTGCATGCAAGACGACACGACGGACTCGCCCTGGGTACCCGGGATGACATTGACAGTAGAGCGGCGCAGTAGCTCTGGCCATGGGGCTGGGGCCTGAGCCAACTGCTCCGCTGTCTCTCCTTCCGTCTGTCTGCCTGTGTACGAGCGAGATAGCAAGCTGCTGCTGCTGCTGACGTCGCTGCCAGTTGTCGGTGCCAAGGCTCTTTGGCTCTGGCATTGTTTGTTTTTGTTCTTCTGCACGGGAAACGCAGAGCGTGTGGCAATGAGAGACACAAAGAGAATGAGAGCTAGATAGATAGCGACAGAGAGAGAGAGATAGAGGGGGCGGTGCAATGCAGTTGCTGCTGCATTTGTTTTTGGTAATGAGCGAGTTGGGCAACACTGAAAGCACACATCCCCATCTGTACATACAGTGAATTCTGGCTAATAGGTAATTTAGTGGAATTTAAAGTATTAATGTTTAAAGGAAAATTATTAAATTATTATTATTAATTAAAACAAATTAATATAAGCAGTCAGTGTAAGCGAGAGTAATAAATGTACAAAGTGTAGACTGGTGTTGGTTAACATCGGATCTTTTTTTTTTATAGCTACCAACACTAATTTATCGTTTTGTCTCATGCTGCTATCTTTGTCCTTCCGTCTAGATTTTTCATCCAAAGCTAAGCCAAGCTACTTCTCTTTTTGGGGGTCGCAAACTATTTTATAGTTTAAAAGAAAAAGAAATTAAATTCTTAGTTTATTAGTTTGGGCACGAATATTTGTACATTCTGGAGAATGTATTGCTCTGCACTTGTTTGCGAGTGCTCACTGTTTCAAGGCTCTGCCCATTCAAATGCAGACAACACACAAACAGAAATACTGCTTCCATACAGCGATTGCATTTTGTACACATGTATTTGCTCCAAGTACTCTGACCATTATCTTCTCTAATGCGTATTTTTCAATGTTTACCTAATTTATCTCTATTTTTCTTCTTTCTCTTACAGTGTTTCACTGGCAAGCTACAATAATGGGCCCGGTAAGACGAATACTACATGCTCCCCAGTATATCCCCCAGCAAGGCAGATCGGAGATTGCTCCTCCCTCCCGTTTGATCTGTTTGATCAGTTTTTGAAGATTTAAACTAATTGTCTTGTTGTTTTTTTGCAGCTAAAGTTCGGATGGGATTTCGGATTTCATAGTTGATAGAGCAGACACACGAAAAATAAGAACTAGAATCGCTTACGAATTCTTCTACAAATTCTTCATCTATGAGTCTTAAAAACACAAAGAGTATAGCTTCTGGCTACAGCGCTAAACCTTAAATTCAGCTTAGCCTTAATTTAAATGTATTTTAACGTTTCATATGTAGTTGCATTATCATCGTGTGACACAGCGACTGAAGTCAGTCGCGGATGACCACGATAAGACTCCTGTCAGTGGCCGCAACGCTCCCTGAACTTACTCATGTAAAAATGTATTATTTATATACGAGACATTACTTCTACTTTCTTCCCTTTCTTCATTCGATACAAGTTATTTATGCCATATATTTTGAGAATGCGGAAAGAGGACAGGAAAGAATATAGAGAATATTTGGCAATAGTTCTTAAGGGAATTATGAAGAAATTGTAACACTCCTTTGATTGATTTTGCTGGAACTTTAATTGAGCTTTAAATGTTCTCATTTACTGTCCAAACCCAAGGATTCCCCATCAATTCCACTGTCCCATCAATTTATCAACTAAATCCATTTCGTTTTGCTTTCAACGTACGAAAACAACAAGACAAAATATTAGTTTTTCTCTGCATAAATATTCGAAATTCTTTACTAATTACTTACTCGTTATCATTTGTAATCTTTTGCAGCCGGACAGCCCTTATCAAGGAGGTGTATTCTTCTTAACTATACATTTTCCAACAGACTATCCCTTTAAGCCACCAAAAGTGGCTTTTACAACGCGCATATACCATCCAAACATCAACAGCAATGGATCGATTTGTCTCGATATATTAAGATCTCAGTGGTCGCCAGCATTAACTATTTCAAAAGGTATTTACAAATCTGAATATTTCCTTATTGAATATATTGAAAATCTAATAACGTTTTTTCATTGTGTATTTGTCTCTCTCCTTTTTTTGCAGTCTTATTATCAATTTGCTCTCTACTCTGTGATCCCAATCCAGACGATCCGCTTGTTCCAGAGATTGCCCGAATATATAAAACTGATCGGGAAAAATACAATGAGCTGGCACGAGAGTGGACTAGAAAGTATGCTATGTGATGCGTTCCAGATTGCAGTCCAACAAAAACAGCAACATCAGCAGCAACAACAACAGCACCAACAGCAGCAAAAGCAAACACAACAACAACAGCTACAACAACAACAACAGCAACAAAGATAACAACAATTTACAACAATAGTCAAAAAAACACGAGGAGAATGAACAGCTACAGCCGCAGCAGCAGCAATGTTGCTATTGCTGGCAACAGCCGCCGGGCGGTTGATCACAACAACAATAACAAGAACAACTTTAATAGCAACAACAACAATATCAGCAGGAGCTGCGGCTATAGCAAAAACAAAAAAACCAACACTGACACCGACACCAACATCAGAATTTTCAGTCATCCCAACAAAAGATACAACAGATACACCAACACCAACAAGATCAGGAACAACATCAAACTCAACAACAACGCCAACAACACCAACGGCAGCAACATCAAGTTGTGCCCCAGCCGCTGCCGCCGCCTCCGCCTGCGTGGCATCAACAAAAGCATAATGAAAATCAGCATGAACATCATCAGAAGCAGCAGTAGCCGCCACAAGGGGAACGAGGGTCACGCAGCAGCAACAACAACAACAACTGGCAGCAGATTGGTGGCAGCAGACTGGGACTTGGTACTGGTACTGGGTATGAGAGGTAGTGTTTGACCGAACAGCAGAAGCAAAAGCAGAAACAGCAGAGAAGCAACACAGCATAAATGGAAATAATTTAATAATAATTACTGAGAAAAAAAATTATGTAAGCATTAAACATTAAAAGCTAGACAGCTACCAACAACACAGCATCAAACATAATAAGTTTAAATACAAAGAAAAACAAAACTACAAAATAAAAATCAGCTGGAAAAATTATTATTATTATTATATTATATTTAAAGAACCGGAAAAATAAAAATTACAAAAATTCAATTTCAACATCAAAGCACTCAAAACAGAAACAGAGGCCGCCGCCGCCGCCATGATCGCCAAGAAGAGAATCTACCTACCATTCCGTCAATTTGTAGTGTTTCTCTTCATACCAAGGATGGATTCTTTTGTTGTGCTGAGAGGCAGCAAGTGGGCGAGGCAGGAACCACAGCTTGCTACAGGATAATCATAGGGCTAAGGGACTTTTACGTAGGCTATATAATGTCTACGAAAGGTTAATAAAGCTCAGAATGTACTGAATAAGGATCAATATTTTTGCTACCAATTAAACACCAAGTCGAACCTCTATCTTGGCTTTAATCACACGAGGAATTATGTTATAGTTTATTATGTCTGATCTAAATTATGAGCATTAAAAGGTCTTGATTCAGTGTAAGGGCAGAGTATTTAATTGTATTCTATGTAATACAGCATCCAAATTATATTTTCTATGGTAATATTTGCACAAATCGATGGATTATTTGTATGTTTATTAATTCTTTTTTTGAAATCAATACAAAATGTGTTTCTTGTAGCCTGAATGCGATGTGCTTGAAATATTTAGTTAAATATCAAATTTGAATTTTTAATATAATATTAATCTGCAATATTTGCAAATAGATCTATGGTAGCGTAGATATGCTGCTCTTCTTTTTACAGATTTGGCTTATAAATATGAGCGGTTTCACAGTGTGGTTTCCAGGATTAAAATATAATTGTGTTTAAAGGGTTGTCTGCACAAAATTTCATTTATAATTTTTTCTATTCCTAAGATTGGCTAGAAATTTTATTGGGTTGTTTGAATTTATTTTATAATTAACCTATCAAAATGAGGAAGACCAAAATGCTACAATGAAACTTAATTTCTTCCAAGCACGAAATCAAAAAACAAGAATAACAAAATGTAACGGGATTTCTTCTGTTCAGTAATGCTTACATTCCATTCTTAACAAAATGCTTCACAAACTACATTCCATTTAGGGGCAGATAATAGTTATTCTTCTATATGTGTTCATCTTTATAAGATTCGACAGTTGAAATGTACCGTTAGAACATAAAAGTGCTGTAAAAAAGTTCTTAAGTATGGTATAATTACGGCTCGTGTGTAAAGTGAGTATTCACCTATTAACAGCGTACTGTACAGATTTGAAGAGAGTTTTGTACTTGATATAAAACTCGGTTAACAAGATAATTTTTATAAGTCCATTAAGTTGCTCCAATTTGTGTGTGTGTGTGTGTGTGTACTAGCAAGCGTGACAAATTTCGTTTATTATTCTTTTTAAAACATTTTTATAGGGCATACTTTGAAAAAAAGCCGCTTAAAAGCTTTCGTGCTTGGAAATGACTGTCACAGAGCAGCTGTCGTAGGTCAAAACTGTTGCCAATCAAATGGCCGCAACTGAATTGAAGTCGCGATCGGTTAGATAGATGCTCCATTCGGTCAATGTGAAGGGCATTTGCAGTCGTGGTCACTAATGCAAAACCCACAACACACACATACAGAAAGAGAAACGAGCGAGTGAGACAGATGGTTACAGCATGCTTAATTTGCATCATCATCAAAAGATTCGATTAAAACAACAACAACCATACTCTCGTCTCTCGCTCTGGCCGAAGAGCAGCGCCAAAGTTTCGTGGAGCTTTTTGTGCCGATCGTAATGGCTCTCGCTCTTCGGCGTTCGGCTCTCTTCCGCGTCGGTGGCTGGCTGGCCGACCATACAGAAAGCTGGTGGGGACAGTGCGGATTTTCAGTTTCAGTTATTTTCGTTTCCGCGCGGCGAGAGGTTCGCGAGAACATTTTCAGCTAAGTGAAAATCTGTGTGGAATTCCTATAAAAGTAATTCAAAATCAATTTAAGTTTTTTTTTCGTACACGTATGCGTGTGCACGTGCTTACAATTGCCGAGAAGAGAGCAGGGGAAAGGAAAGAGTCAACAGCCAGACAGCAAGAGATCGACCTAAAAGTTGTCTTTAGAAATTTTGGTTATGCAAACAGTTTTGGGAGTAAGAGCGAGTGAGAAAGACAGACAGATGGAAAGCATGAAAGCACACACAAATTGCAATTGTAGAATTAAAACAAAATTAGCCTAGCCTATCAATGCATTTGCAGTCGGTTCAAGTGTGTATATTTAACTTTGGGGTCACACGCCGAGACCTGCACAATACAGAAGAAGCGGAGAGCCGGTTGCAGTTACTAGCAACATATTTTAGGCAGAGCAGTGGAACCTGCCTCGTTTAAGAAGTGCTTAAGCTGGGAAGTCAGACCGAGCTTCAAAGAAAAGAGAGGGAGAGCAGAGAGCAGTGAGAGCGTCGATTGCTACATATGTGGACTCCAACATGGCACCAGCCCGCAGTGAGAGAGCTCTTCTGCACTTAGCACCCCCCATCCAAAGTGTCTTTTGTTTAGGAGCCCGTCTCGATTTTCGCGGGAATGGGAGCCGCCAGCCCCCAGCCCGCATGCCGGTGTCGGTGCCAGTTCCCAACAAACATCTGTTTGAACCCAATGAAACCAGAAACGTAAACTAAATATTTGTACGCACACACGATTTCTAACCAACCGTAAACTCTATCCATATCCATTCTGTCCAGGCTGCGACATGAGTCCCCGCCCGCACGATGATAGCCTCGAGACAAACGCCGAGTCGGAGTGCTTGAATGTCGCCGAGTCAACGTGCTACATTCGCCAGGCGGCGGCAAAGGATGGTGCCGCTGATAGTTGCTGTTGGGTGAGTACTGATAGTGCGATGAGCAGAAAGAGGAAACTGGGTACAAAGTTCAGGCAGGCGCGGATCGGCCGTGCTGAGGGGAGGAGACTTTAAATTGTCTTCCAAGTCTTTCTTTGTCTTTCTATACAATCAATATGTTGTGGAAAGTTCTGTTTGCAATCGGAGTAGAATTGCAAAAAAAAATCGCCAAAAAAGTTAATTCCGCTTTCGAAAAATTTAAACTCAACACAGTTGGATTTTTAATGACTTAAGAAACATTCTTAAATTGAGAAGCAAAGAGGCAAAACATTTCGAATCATAAATCTTCAGCAGCAAGTTCATTGAACAGACATGCTGATTTTATCAGCACTGTCATCGCTTTTAGACGAACAAAAGTATCTTGACAAAGTTAAGATTGATTCGACTTCAGTACTGAGACAAATATTATTGCATAAAATGTACATCTCTACACACACAAATGCATAAAAACTTCAGAATAACATCTGAATAACATCTCAAAAAAGTGATTAAAATATTAAGATAACTTTGAGAATAACGACGCACCAGCCAATTCGATATACATTCTTACTTTCTCTTAGCGTGCCATGTTATTACCACATATTATAATAATAAGAATAATAATGACTTGCTTTATGGCCCTCTAATATTCACAAAATTAGCTTAGCTGTACAGTTCAATGGGTAATCAATGATAAGAAATTCTACTTAGACAATTTACAATTTTAAGTATGCCCAAGGAAAGGCTACGAAAACCATGGCAAAATTATTAATATTATTTTATTCTCATTTCAATTAAAATTAATCACAATTCATTTTTTATAATTAAAATCTTGAAATTCGTGGAACTAATATTTTAAAATCTGCGTATCAATTATAGAGAATTAAGACTATTACTATACAGACTTGCCACACCATCTTCTCATTGGTTTAAACATGAATTATCTAGACTACTGTTCCAAAACTTTGTGAAACTCTTGGTAAAATTGTGAATTTTTTTAAATAATTTGAATGGTATTTAAACCTTTCTTAAAACTACAATCAGATACTTTGAATTTGCGCATAGTATTTGTATATGTTCGTATGACACAACATAGAACTGGTAATAATCTTAGAAGATCTAAAACTATTGCTATACATGAGCACCTGTGACGAAACGACACGTGCATCGAGCGAGCATCTGCGTCAATCAGTGCTGCCAGCTGACAAAAGTCAAACAAGACGAGGAGGGAATAGCGAAGCGAAAGCTCATTGGGTCGACAGCGAGCTGCTGGCTGGCTAACCTTAAACAAAAGTAGCAGAGTGCGCTATTTTTGCCATAGCCAGGGCCCATGGCTAGCGCACTAGACGGCTTCGAGCGATTCGAGTCAAGGTCGGGCTGAGCCTCACTTATGGTCTTGGACTGTGATAAGGGGGACAGGGAGAGAGCTCTTGTTTGTGACCGATTAGAGCTTACCACACCGATATCTGGTTATGCATTATGTTTACATATTGCGAAAGCCCTCAACTCACGCGGAATTCCTCTGAAGTTCAACGAAAGGCAAAACTGGTTTTGTTTTCAACTTAATTTATGAGTCTTTCGCATGCGCTTAAAAAAAATACGTATGCATCCGTATATATGTAAAGATCGTTTAAGCAATTACAACGAAGAGAGCGGAGAGAAAAGCTCAAGCCCTGGGGAGCATCTTATGCAACTTTGTTTACAAATTGTTCTCAATGAACAGGTGAACGTGCCACACCCGTTGACATTGCTAACGGTTTCCTTATACAAATGTACGAGTATGTAAATATAAACTGCAGGAAGTATTTACTAAAATTTATCCAATCAGAGAAGGAACCATTTTCGATCTAATCTAAAACTAAGAGAAAAATGGCATGGTAAAAAGAAATACACCCATTTTAAAATTAAATATTCGGTTTTTAAGTACAAGCATAGTAAAATAAAATAGAATTTACTTTTTTCGATTTTTTTTTCCGTAAAGTTCCGTTAATAATAATAAACATTGATTACGAATTATTTTATTAAGAGTCAAGTACCCGACATGTATGCATGTAAATACATATGTCTGTACATATTTACATGTATTTTTCCAGCCAGTCAGTACACATTGGGATTTCCTGGAAATATCAATCCAATCCGCGAATGTTTAAGGAATTAAATTCGAAACCTCAACTGATTCCGATTATTGTAAATCGATCTAAAAAGTACAAAAAATACATACATATGGGCGATAAGTTGTCAAGAGATCTGTCTATGCGCTGTCCGTAAGTGCTCGTGGATACGGCTTCGCCCTGACTTGAGTTGTTATATAAGTTAGGGGGGCTGGGCAGCGTTGAGGTGCGGGCTAGGGGTTAGGCTACCATCAACATTCGGCTTGACCGAAATAGGCCGCTTGCACAAGAGATGAAAGCTCCCAACAACAGGCAATGAAATTTCGCATAATTTCGGCATAATTGTCGTCTCTGACGCCTCTCCAACATCAAAGACATTGCATCGATGATTGCCCAAGCGCACATGGAAAGCGACTCTCACAAAACAATCTGCAATCGCGTCTATCTCCGAGTATCACTCAGATGCTGTAGCCCAAAGCTTTGTGGGGGCTTTTGTTGAGTGCTTTTAAGATTTCTGTTGACCACACACACACATTGGATCTTGACGGGTTTTAGTTGCCAGCTGGAAAGCGAGCGCAACGGTTTATGCAAGTTCTGCGCCTCAGTTGGAAATGAAAAGATACCTCCTTAAGGAGTCGCGAACTACATTAAAAAATATTTTTCGAATGCGCCCCGCCATTGTGTTATATTAAGAAAAAAATCAAGTGAAACATTGAACAAAAGTTTTTGAAAAGAAACAAAGAAGAAACATACATTTGTCGTATTTTATAAACATCAAAAGTGATTTAAGTGATAATTATTAAAAAATGGAATCCACTATTGTCACCACAACAACCACAGCAACAACGACAACCGATTTGAAGCGCTGCAAACAAATAGATGTAAGCCAGATTATACACCCCAAAAATAACTAATAAATCTGTAAATTAAAAGTGTTTGTAGTGCACTAGAAAAGAATGGAAAACACGTAACGAAAATACGTCAATGGGGAATTAATTGCACATCCTGTTTGTCGATATCGGTGCATAGTCCATTAGCTTCTATTTGCCGACAATTAACTATGCAACATTGTTCAACGAGTATTAGTAATTATCTCGGGATTTTCGTTAAGTGTCGGTGTTTGCTTGGTAAAAATATTTGAAATTGCACGGTGTCAAGTTGTTTAATCACAGCTCGCACTGCACACACCTCTCACCAGATGCAGCTGTTTTCAGTTAAGCGGAAAGTTTACACTCAACCGAAAATGTTGGTGATGGCTCAGTAATTTGTTTAAATGGAAACAATTCGGTTATAAATGCCAATTTGTATATGGGGATAATGTTTTTTATGTGATGAAAATTCAAGTGATCCATTATTTTAATTTTTTGTTTTTAATGTTTATATTAAAAAATCATCAAAATTAAAAAAAATTATGAAAATTAAGGTGATCCATTACATAACTTTTTTCAATGTTTATATTAAAAAAAAAATATTATCTCTCTGCCAAATCGTAACTATATCTTTATTTGGAGTATTAAAAATTTAAATTTTGTTCGAATTCTCTTTGTACGACGCCAAATATCATCCACTGACTGTACCAAAATTTCCCATTGGGGGTATTACAGTCGAACCGTTTATGGGCTCGCCCCCCCCCATTATTACGAGCGGACATGTGCAAAAAAAAGCTCTCTAAAGAATGCATACACAGAGCGAGATGCTTACGTGTTGTAAACAATACGTCATCGAAACGAAATGGATAAAGCACTTGCACTTGCATTTCACTCACACATAGTTACGGATACGGCTACAGATGCAGCGCCCACACTTGCAGCTTGTTGTTTGTTGTTGTTATTATTCGAAATGTGCATTAGTCGTATAAGTATGAACTGTATAAACAAATTACAGTCAAGCCCCCTTTCGGCAGTTGTTTTTTGTTGTTTTATAATTATTTGTTATTGCTATTTCTATTTATTTATGGTGCTGTTGGTTGCTGGTGCTGCTGTTGCTGTTGTTGTTGTTATGGTTTTTTGGTATTGCAATTTCGCAATGGAGGTATTATGACACTCGCTCTCTTGTTGTTGTTGTTTACACACAAAACCAGAAACAACAATATGAACCGCAGAACACACGCACACAGAAAAGTTCATAATAATAAATAAAATCTGCAAGAGCAAACAATTATTTGTAGACTGCAGTCGCAATAAGCCAATAATCAAAAACCATAAGGAATAAGGAATAAGGAATAAAATGAGTATATGATGAATATTTTTTACAATTTAGTTGTCCTGCGTAACATATTAAAAAAAAGTTTTTTGGGTTCGATTATAATCGAATAAGAGAGAATTCCGACTGTACTTTAGATAAAATACGCAAATGCTTTTCGTATAAAATATAATATATTCTGCAATAAGATGAGGAAGACCAATAAATACACAGACACCAGACAATACTCATAAAATGTGCAAACAAATCAATTATACCCTGCAGTTTTTGGCTTGGCTAAATATAAATTAGTTTGCCAGTTGCCAGGGTCTACTCAAAAGGCGGAAGAATCACAAAAACCAAGAAGAATACTCGTCGTCGTATCCGTGCTGTCCTCAATTCATATCGAATGAGCCGCAAAACTAATTGATAATATTATTTTTTGTGCTTATCTCTTTCAGCTTGATGGCCAACTGGTCGGATCAGCATCGGAGACGGATGCAGCGCATCAGTTTCCGTCCAACGAAGAGCCGAATGTGCTTGGACATGGACCCAACTACGATGAGAAGCTGTGCAAATTCAAATGGCTCTGCAATTTCGATGATGTGAGTGAAACGAACTTTGAGTCAAGTGACAATGTCTTGGGGGGGGTCAATTTGGCACCAATTGTCGCGCGCACACTGAATTTTAATTGATCGCAAATTGTTTTTGGCGCACTGACAACAGGCCCGCCCGGCACCCGGTCAGGGGCAGACCATAAAAAATAAAAAACAAAAAATCAAACCCTCTTTCAGCCAGCAACCATTTTTCTTTTTATTTTACTTACTTTTTTTTTTTGGCATTCAATTTACATGCCTTAAACATACGAGTATTATTATAATCGAGTATCGGGTTGCTTTGTTGGCTGTGGTGTGTGCCTAAGCAATTCGCGGCGATCGTTGTCTGAAAATGCCTATGAACGCCTAAATATGTGAAATCCGCCACATGGCTTGTGGCTGGCAGCAATTGCCAAAATAATACAATTAGACAAACCAAAAACCCAACTGAATCAAGGTCACAAAGCCACAAAAGCAACATCGAACAGTGGCAACAATACACGTACATATGTATGTATGTACGACTATGTAGCATTAAGTATTCAAATAAAAAGAAGCTACTGTTTGTTTGTTTCTTTGTTTGTTTGGCCGACTCTCGCAATCTGTGTGCTCTCCAGGGGTAAAAACCTCGTATTACATATTTTCGATAATGGGAAAAACCTCAGGGACACTTTGGATATTTCGTAGCTGTAAATGCTCATAAATTCAATGTAAGAGCTTTATATTTTAGCTGCTAAAAAAGCTCCATAAAACATTTCAAGATATGCATCATATTCCACTCAAAAATTCAATTAAATTAAATAAACTTAAATCATAGCAAATCAATATTCCTCCGAAAATATTTAATGACTCTTTCAACTAAAAATAAATTAAAATAAAAATGTTGCAACTGCTAGCTCTATAATATTCCACTAAAAGATGCATCTAGTTTGTTGAATTAAATCAATAAATTTAATTTAATTTATTTTTAATTGAACCATGAACAGAATTTGCGCTCTACGCGTAGATTGGGTGGGTACGCTGCCAGAGTCACACAACCAAGTGGCTTCCATTTTCTATTTTCTATTCTCTGTTCTATTTTGTTGCTTTCCTCTCGATGTGTTGTGGCGCATTTGATTTGCATTTATTATTTATTGGGTTGGGTTGGAGAAATGTTTTCGTTTTTTTCAATATTTAATTGGTATTTGATCTGTGCTGCAGGCCCCCAGCCATCTGAAGTTCAATCCGTACATCCGTCGTGGCTACCGTACATTCCTTTCCAACAAGCTGTGCCTGCAGAGCATTTTCTGGTGGACCAACGAGACGGTGAGTTGCATTAAATTAAATACAGAATTTTCCATTTGAATTTGAATTTGTTTTCGTTTTTTGTTTTGTCTTGTTTGTAGATCAATATCTGGAGCCATCTGGCTGGATGCATACTCTTCATTGCCCTGACGATCTTTGACTTTCAGTTCCTGCGCATCCACGCCTCGTTGACCGATCAGGTGCTGGTCGTCTGTCTGCTGGTCTGCTTCTGCCTGTGCATGCTGATGTCCGCCATATACCACATATTCTCGTGCAAGTCGGAGGAGCACTATGAGCTATTCCTGTCGGTCGATTTCCTGGGCATATCCCTCTCCCTGGTGGCCATCTACATCAGCGGCATGTACTACGCCTTCTGGTGCCACACCTTTCTGCGCACTCTCTACTCGACCATTGCCATGGGCATGTTCGGGCTGGCCATCGCTGTGCAGATCCCAAAGCTCAATGTTTCCATGAACGGCAAGGTGTCAGTGCTGTTGCTGTGGTCCGCCTACGGTGTCATTCCTCTCGGCCATTGGGCTGTGGCCATGGGCGGCCTGGAGAACGAGTTGGTCAGGGTGAGTCCGCATTAGCTTTGGTTCCTCCCATGCAAAATTACTCATCTGGTTTTTGTTTTCCCTTCCAGCTGATGGCGCCCCGCATTGTGGTCATGTATCTGCTGTGCCTCATCGCCTTCGTGTTCTATGCGGCCAAGATACCCGAGCGCTGGTTCACGGGCAAGGTGGACTTTGTGGGACACTCGCACAACTGGTGGCACCTGATCATCGTGGCCGCATTCTACCACTGGCACAACACCGGGCTGGTGTATGCCGAGTATCGTCTGAACAACGGCTGCAGTGCGCCGATTCTCTCCTGAGGGAGCAGCTTGGCCTGGCAGCTTGGGCAGCGGTACTCTATTACTACGCCTAGTGTAAATAGCTTATGGAGCACCTCTATATCTGCATATTAACTAATATTTAGTTGTAGTTGTTGACCGATATGTTTAATTTATGTATAGCTTACTGTTTAGTTAGGGTTTCGTGTTAGTTTATCCATGAGTCAGTCGGCACTGCACGAGCTGAGCGGAGCTGAGCAGAGCGCACCGGAATGGTGCGTGCGACGGAAGGTGTCTTATGTCTTTCCTTCTTTCTTTCATTTCCTTGAACAATGCTTGTTTTTGTTTGTTTGTAGGAAATTGCATGTGCCTTGAGCTGTGAAGCTGTGTTAGTCTTGTTGACTCAATTTTTACAATTACTTTAAATACAAATACAATATCGAAAGTACAAAACATACAAATTGTTCTTTTAGCCCGTTGGAGTTTTGGGAGTTTCGGGGGTGTGGAGCAACAATAATTCTCAGCTTTTTTTTTTTGCATTTTGAGAGGGCAGAACGGTCGTGGCATGCAAAACATTTAAGATACACTTCAGAAATTCGTTCAAATTTTTAAATTATTAGTTTAGCAGTAGTGTGACCAAATGATTCAAATGTGGTTAGCCCGACATTTGGTGAGATTTTTTTTTCTTTAAATACTTTAAAATACAATTCAATGATTAAAAAAATTTCAATGGATTATGTGGTGCACAGCTGGTTACCTTATTGCTTCAATTCTGACTTTATACTTCATTTTCAATTTTAAAATTTACACTTACAAATGTTCATATTTACATATGTAGTTAGCCTTCAACGCAATTATGAGTAGAGCGATAGATTATATCGAACTTTTTAAATCGCTATCGACATGTTGCCGAAACATGTCGTAAACAGGTTTTCTAGCAACATGAACTAATGGGCACACTGTAGCCAGAAAATGGAAATGGTCTCACAAATTTTTCGGCCGCGCGCAATCGAACAACGAGATAGTGTCGAATTTTTTTCTGAATTCAGAAAATTCCGTTGAATTAATCCATAGTTATTGATGAAATATCACCTGGAAGTATATTATCAAACAAATATATATCGATATTATACACTTTTGAACTACGCGGTTGCGTCGCGGACAAATTAACGGTGTTTTTTGGCGCTGGAGCAGTGGAAAAGCCACAGGCCAACGGCGTTAAATTATTGGTTAATTAGTTTCAATTAGGCGGAAAAGGAGCAACAGCTGCCAGATCGCGCCAAACAACAGTAATTTTTGTGCGAGTACGAAATGAAAAGTAAGAGCAGCGATCGTTGTTAGTGTGCGTATCGCGTGTGGCAGTGTGCGCCTGCGGGCAGTGTGCGTGTGTTTGTGTCGGAATGGAATGCACAAAACCCATCCCCTCCGGCCCCCATCGCTCTGTGTGTGCGCTCTATTATCGCTGAAAATATGTACAAGGCAAAGGCAACGTAAAAGAGAAACCGAAAAGAGCAAAAACGGTGAAGAAAACGAGAAAAGCGCGCGCCAAGTGACAAGTTTTTTTGTGTGGGACTGACCTCCACTACCCCCCTGGAACCGGACAGACTCCCCCGCTGCACGATGCCAAATCTGCAGCAATCGGCGCCGCAGCACCATCCGCACCATCTGCGGCCACAGCACCAGCAGCATCATCATCATCATCACCACCATCAGCACCACCAGCACGGGCCCCACAGCGACTTCCCCCTGCCGGACGGCTGGGATATTGCCAAGGATTTCGATGGCAAGACCTACTACATAGATCACATCAACAAAAAGACCACATGGCTGGATCCCAGAGATTGGTAAGTCTCTACATATGTACATCTGTACTCCATATAAGAGAGAGTGAGTGAGAGAGAGAGAGCGGATCAGGAAGCTTACAATAAAACCCATATAAATTCCGATTCCAAAAGCGCTCGAACCGGAAAGATAAAGGTGCGTGATGCACTTGTATGTGTTGTGTGTGTGTGTGTGTGTGTGCGTGTGCCTGTATGCATGTGTATGTAAAGGAATGCGAGAGGTGGAGGCAGAAGAAGCACCACAAAAACAAAGCAAAATAAATTACATATTTTAAACAACAACAAAACAGCCTTAAGTAAACATTCCAAGGCGATGATTAAGACTCCAAATATAACCGAAACTGAAGCGAGAGAGAGAGAGACAACGGCAACAAACAAAAAATGAAATGTAAAAGGCAGAAAGAGAGTGGTGAAAAGAGGTATGCGGCAGAAGGAGAAGGGGTAAAAATGTGCGCCAGATTCTCCAGAGCAATGAAATGTACGGCAGAAAGAGAGGGAAAATAAATGTACAGCACGACGAACGGGGCTGTTGTGAAGAAGGAAGGGGCTGCGAGAAGCGGGGAAAAATGGGAGAGCAAAAGTTAAATAAAGCTCAGCGAATGATCTGCAAAAAAAAAATAACTACAAATCTCATACGTAATGAGTACAAGAGAGCAAAAGAAGCAGAAAAGCGAGAGAGAGAGGGAGAGAGAGAAACATAGTGGCATGATCTGAAGATGTGGGGAAGGGAAGGCACGGCACCGCACTACATCAGGCCATGTATCTCATAGATCCATTTTAGTTTGCCGTTCGCCGCTCGCTCACATTTAAATACACTTGCTGGGAGGAGAGTATTATGATTTTGACAAGCGCTTTGCCACGCAGCGAACAGGAAGCTGCATCAGCAACTGAAATTCCTATGTAAACTTGTTCTTCTGTTGAAAGTTAAAGTTCAAGGTATTTGATTGTAATTAGATTACTTTATTATACAGTTGCAATGGCAACGATTTTATCCTCGAGGGTATGTAAAAGGTCGGAGCCAAGAGGAGGCTTTTCTTTCTTGTTTGTTTGCCTCTCGCTCGGATAACTCGTCTTACTCTTTCTGCGGCAAATACTGTGTGTGTGTGTGTGTGTGTTTGTTTGTCTCTCTCATAAACAATTGCAAAATGTACATCGGAATTTTTGCAGTTTCGAAATAATTGATTTCTGACATTCTTCGCCCGCTCTCTCGTTTTTCTACCCCCGTCTCGTTCGCACTCATTACTATCTGTATCTCCCTCTTCACGCTTTCAATTAACACAAACATTCCCTTTGTTTGTTTCAAATTGCATGGACATTGTTAAAAATGTTTCACTGAATTAAACGCCCAAGCGTTGAGCGTTCAGGAATTTCTCGGCTTTTTCTCTCTCCTTTTTTTCTTTTGATTTTTTTTTCTTTTAAAAGAAATGAAACATCTGCGCATTTGTAAGGGGTTATGCATCAAGTAGATTATACATTCACACAAACACACACATGCTCGAATTGTATCTAGACGAGCATCTTCATATCTTTATTACATTTTTTTTTTGTGTACATTTTGAATTATATTATTTTATTATTTTTTGTACATACTATGTTTATTATATTTATTTTTTATCATCGTTCACGATTTTAGTGTTGATTTTTACCTAAAATTATATTTCTCAGAATATTGCTTGAAAAATAAATAGAATCAAAACAGAAATTTTAACTTCTAATTATGCGTAGATATGTACATATATGTACATATTGAAAACTTCTCCACCACAAATAATATCCTCTGATCGATTGTCCACGTAAAAAATTAATTTCACATGAATTGCTCAACTTTCTTTTACATTAATTCCGATCTACATATACCGCCAAAACTATAATATTTCGTAAATTTTTACACGTTAATTTCATTGACTTTATATTTGCAAATTGATTTCTTTGAAACCTGCATTTTTCGCCTCCATTATTGCCTTTATTGGCATTTCGCACGTCTCGCATATTTTTCAACCAAAAATTATTCACGCTTTTCGCCATTTATATCGCTCTCTCTTTCGTTGGATCGCCCCCCAACCCCCACACGAGCTGTTATTGAATTTTAAAAATTGCTGCCGGTAGCTCGCAAAAATTCCAATAAACCATAAATAAATTTCTACAATAACGCGAAGCGAGCCAGGCCTCGGGTGGCCTTTAAAGGCCTCCCGCCACTCGCCACGTTTCGAGCACCGAGAGCCAAACCAGCAAACAGAAATCACAGAAACACATACAAAACAAAAAAAAACATCTATACCATTGCTCATCTGCAAGGTCGAATTGGGGATACCCTTGAAATGTTATCGACAATTGTACTTGTACTGTGACTGTGGTCTACATTTTCGTGATGTTTTCTAATGTTTGTGCAACGTTTACCGGAAATTGCTATTATTGATGTATTTTAACTGTACTTAAAAAATACCGAAGATACAATATCTACTATGATTCGATTTACCTTAATTGAATAATATTCTGTTGACTATGAAGTTGAATTTTGTAATTAGTTATTGAGAATGATTAATTGAATGAAAAGAGTGCTCTTTGGGCATTTTGCTTTCTGTTTTAGAAGGGATAAAAACTGTTACATAGCACGGATCTATTAGGTATTAGGAAATGTATTGGTTGCGTGTAATTAATGTTTCACTTGTTTGTGCATTTAGGCGGGCGGGGAATTTTTCTCGTATTTTTGGTACATTTTATTGTTTCTCTTTTAGTTTTTTTTTTTGTTTAAACAAAACTTAACATCGCGAATGGCACTTTTTGGTCGTCGTCTTCTTTATTTTCTTATGAGTGTGTATTGTTTTTTTTTTTGTATATTTTTTTTTGGCAGTTTTTTGTCCAATTGTTTAGCCATAACAAGACACAACACAGTGGAATATTTTTGTGTGTGGCGGGGCTCAGACAGAAACGTGTTTGGTGACAGTTTCTCGATCTATTCATGGAACGAAAAAAAATAAATGATAAAAAAAAATAAAAAAACGGGCGAAAAAAAAAGAAACAAAATCTGTCGGCGGCTACCAGTTGTGATAGTGGCTCCAACTCGAATTCGAACTCGTTTGTTTTACATAAACACAAATCGCCGCCAAAAAGGCCTAGCGAAAGCGGCCAACGTCGGACAACGGGGTAACGATTGCCTGTCATAAGTCGGACAGAGTGGCGCCACCGGCATTGGCGGCTGTATCTTAAATCCTAAATCTCAATAGCAAAGAAAAAACAAATCAGAATGCTAGTAAAGCGACTATAGGATACCCGCTTTATGGATTTGATTGATGATCAAATGATCAGCCACTAAACATCCATAAAAAATTCTCTTTTATTCTTCTTCTTCAAATATTGGTTTTTGTTTGCTTTTGTGGTCAGAAAAACATGCAGTAACATGGCTTTTGCATAAAT